ATGTCAAACAATGTATTTAATGTCTGTGTTATTTGTATAGATAGTGCAGACAATTTATTTAATTTGAATGTTGTATTTTATTTGTAATGGAACATTAATTTAAGATTCTAATGTACCTAAATTATATGACGTAAATAACATTAATAAGTCAATTTCACTATGTTTGTTGTAAATTAATGGAAAATGTAATAATTACATTAATTGTTTCATTCACTAAAAGAGTATAAGATTGTACACTGTAAATTGTATTGTAATGGGATTACGCAATATCATATATTTTGCTCATAATAACAACCAGGAATGCGACCACACCCAAAAGTGTTTTCGACTACGAATACCACTTTCATAGCCGTGAGGTCCATATCAAGGACGACTGTACACGCGCCGCTCACTTTCAAAGGACGCCGCCACCATATATATAGGGGACAGCGAGACAGCCTGAGTTAGATGTATCCAGAGACGAGAACACCACACGACTCGCTTAGCCGCCCAGCCATCACACACGACTTACACGGAGATTATCAACTTCGGAACGAGCTACAAATTCACTACAATCAACACTATTATTCTGCTTGTTTTGTCTGGTTTAATATAATACATTTGATTACCATTCTAATTGACTATTATTATTTATCAAGTACACCAGCTTTTGGATCCCTGAAGGGCCGCATGTAACACTGGCGCAGTCAAAGGTAGGATTCCACAAAGGGAGGCAACCATCAAAGGCTACTGTCAACAACGAAGAATTGATCACTCTTCAGCGAAGACAACTCCAGGAGGAACCAACAAAAAAACAAATAAGTCACATTGCAGTACCAACAAATCCATTAGCAGCATCATCAACGGCAACATGTCATCATCAGCCATGAACGCAGCATTATTGTGAGTGAATAGTTATTTAAATTTGTTACATAGACGTATGCAACATAATTAAGACATATTAAGATAAATCTAGGTAGTTGATTATAAGTGTAATGGTGTAAACCGTTTTAAATTTTATTGAGGGCATATTTTATTGATTATTATTGAAGTTTATTGAGGGCATATTGATTATTTGAAGTTTTATTATTGAGGGCATATTTTTATTGAAGTTATTATTGATTATTATTGAGGGCATTTTTATTATTGAAGTATTATTGAAGTTTATTGAATTTATTAGAGGGCATATTATTGAAGTTATTATTGTATTTATAGGGCATTATTGAATTTTATTGAGTATTATTATGATTATTAACGTATTAAATAGGTGGTTAAGTTAATTTATGGACAAAGAAGATACATCTCCCTTGAACGTAGCTAATTCATTGTATAACACTAGTGTAGTAGAAGAAGCCCAGTTAGAAGCCCAGTTATTAGCCCAGAGAGAAGCCCAAGCCCAGTTTGAAGCCCAGCAGAAAGCCCAGTTAAATACTATAGTAGATACCCAATTATTAGGTAGCACAAGTAAAACCCCAAGTCCACAATTAGGAGTAGTCACACGTAGCAAAGTCACAGATAGTTTTGAACATCAGTCGTTAGATTTTATATCTAAATCACGCAATAAAAAAATGGCAGTAACCATAAGATTAGAAGACGCTTTTAAATTAATTCCAGTATGCACAGGGATAGACGATATTTACCAATTCATAAATGCATGTGATATGGCAGTAGGTTTAGTTGACGCAACTAGCGCACCAATATTAGTAAAATATATCACTACGCGATTAACGGGTAGAGCACTAGAAATGATTAACCCTTTGAGGAGCAGCCTTGGTATACGTAAATGCAATCCAGGGAGCAGCTTAGGAATGAGAAATTAGGAAAAAAAATTATGAGCGAAGACGTATATGTACGTCCTATTTTTCACTCGCGAGTTTTAGCAAAGACGTATAAATACGTCTTTTTTAATTTCAATCCTTTATAGTTTTTAATTGTTTTTACAAAATATAGCTCAAATTAAAATAAATGATGATCTTTAATAATAAATATGTTAATTGTATTTAAATAAAACTAACAAAATTTAAATATATATATATAATATATATAATATATAGCTTCAAATCATAACAATATTAGATTATAAAATATTTTTATTAGTGTAATGTCACAACAAAATTTCTTTAAAATAAAATAAAACAAAATATTGTAAAAAGAGGTACCTTACCTTGTTAATTTTAAAAACATATTAAATATACTTTAAATTAAAATAAATAACGATTTTGACATAATATAATTATGACATTATAATAAAAACGTAATAAAAAAAAAAAAAAATAATATAAACATTAATACTTTTTTTTACAGTGGTAGTCTTTGAAACATGGATCGAGACACAGAGCTTTACCACAATCCTTACACTCATATCTGGTATCTTTCCGACTTCTTGTGCCTAACATGGTATTACTATGTACATGACATTTTTTCTGACTTGGTTTTTTATTACCTGCTGATTCAATAAGTGTGGGGAAATGGCGAGCAGATAATCTTAGTGGATTATTTAACGATACATTTTGTGCTCTAGCTGTTTTCGGTGTACCATGATTTTCGAGGATTTGTTGAATTAGTTTCATTCGAAAATCTGGCAATTTTAATTTTTCTTTTTTTAAACCGCTAAATATTATTCCGGAGTTTAAAACAGTCATATCTAATAAATGGAAAAAAAACTTTTTATACCATTTAACCGATTTCCTTACAGTTCCATTAAAGCTCATCATCATATCACTCTTATCTACCAAACCCATATTATTATTATAATCTAGTATGCTGTTAGGTTTTGATGTAGTTTTTCGTGGAGTGTTTATTATTTTCATTTTGTGCTTGTGTATGCTTGACAACATAAACACGTCCCTCTTGTCTTTCCATTTTAGAGCTAAAAGCTTAGACTTTTTTGAAATGCCATATACACATTCTCCCGGCTTTAATTTCTGATACAGCTTGGGCATTCCCTTCCTATTAATTTTCACTGTTCCGCAGCCTCCTGTTTTTTTTCGTGATAAATATTTAAAAAGGGTAGGTGACGTGTACCAATTATCCAAGTATATAATATGGCCTTTATGAAAATATGGCTTCATTAGAGTAGATACTACAGAACCTGACATTCCCAAAGATTCAATTAAGTCTATTTGAGATTGAGCTCCAGTATACACCAAAAAATCTAAAATGTATCCAGATTCGCAGTCACATAAAACAAATAATTTTATACAAAATCTATGGCGTTTCGAAGGAATAAATTGTTTAAAACATAAACGACCTTTCTATTCCACAATGCTTTCGTCTATACACATTTTCTGGCCCGGAGAAAATGAGTTTTTAAATTTTTTTCTCAGTGTCTCGATAACTGGTTTAATTTTATAAATTCTATCACCCGGGATTTGATTGAAATTATCATTGAAATGCAGTAATCTCAGAATTAACAAAAATCGATTTTGGGACATTAATTGTCCAAAAGCGGGTGTTGACAGCAAAAATGATGTTGACCAATAATCTTTAATTTTATTTTTTTTCACGTGTGCCATAAGGAGGCAAACCGCTAAAAATGTATACATTTCATTGCAATTTGTGTCTTTCCAATACTGTAGCTTAGATTTTTTTTTTAATGTAAAATTAATTTTTATAAACTTAAAATACTTGTTGGTTTGTTCAACAATATGATCGACAAAATGTTCATCAAAAAAGGCTTTAAAAATATCAATTTCTTTGAAGTTTTCGGGTATATCTTCTAACATGGATCCGGAATTCAATGAATCAAATAAAAAATGCTTCGGTTGAAAATTTGATAATGACGTTTTGTCAAATATCCATTTGTCAGAAAAAACTTCTACAGTACATTTTTTTGGGGGAATTATAGGCAATTGTCGATCAGAAGTAGTGCGAGGTAAAATTTCAGGAGGAATAACTACATTGTCTTCACAGACTATTGGCATATCATCAATATTTACAGTACTGCTAGCAGTAGAATGTTTTTCATTCAAAATATTAAAAATATTTTTTCTTAGACTATCAGACAAATTACCTTCAACTTCTGAATCAGAAGAACTATCATCAACATTATCGTACCAATCGCTTTCATCGCCAGATTCAATATTGGTAACTAACTCTGAAATTTGTTGTTCGGTAAGACTCATTGTAAGAGTTAACAATACACGTATCTACAGACTACAATATTATAATATTAAATATATAAATTAAAATCATGCGACAATTGTAAAATTGTTTTTGTTTGTCTAAAATATGATAACGAGCTTTGATAAAATCGATCGTTGTAATCAAAGCAGCTGTCGCCCCTTAGAATATCGGTTAGGTAGGCAATATAAACTATTTAAAAATCTAGATGTCTTGATAAAAATGATAATAACTATTCCGTATTGATAAATGAAAATAAAATGATTAGTTGAAATTAAACTTCACAGATGGCAGTACATATTTCATATAAGGTATTTTATCGTAAGGAAACATAAACAATGAAACTAAAAGGAATTCGCGGGAAAAACGTATATATACGTCAATGCTCTTTTTGACAGTGTATTTTAAAAACGTACATATACGTCCATGCTCCTCAAAGGGTTAAATATAAAAACGTAACAAAATGGCAATTTATAAAAGCATATTTAACAGACGCATTCGAAGTAACAACCAATGCATCGTCGTTACAACTTCAATTAAATTCGATTAGAATGAATCACAATGAGGATGTAAACGATTATTGCCATAGAGTAGAAAAACTATATTATCAATTATGTACCGTAAGCACGTTAAACAAAGAGCCTGCAGAAGCAAAAATTATACATGAAACATTAAGGGACCAAACTCTAGCAGTATTTATTAAAGGATTAGTAGAACCGATTAGAACGATAGTAAAATCTCGTAATGCTAAAACTCTTGAAATCGCGAAACAAATCGTTATGTCAGAACAGGTAGAATTAAGATTAGAACAGGAAAATAGGAATCATTATTCGAGTAGTTATTCGCAAAACAATAACCAACGTAGATCGAATTATGAAAATAGGAACAACAGGAACATAAGACCAAATAACTTTGTAAGGGCCGAATAATTTTGCGCAAAATAATAATCCACGAGCAAACAATTTCTCTCAACCAATTAATAGACCACCAATAAAATGTTATAACTGCAATGGAAATCATTTTGCATCACAATGTAGAAATAATTCGAGACCTAACTACGCGAGCAACGGAAATAACAACCGTCCACCTAATAGAAATAATTTTACGCAACCGCCGACAAATTATAATGCACAACCAGTTACGTGTTCATATTGCAATAAAATCGGTCATAATGTAGATTCATGTTACAAAAAGAGAAACGACGAAAGTAGAAATAATTCGGGAAACGCCAACGTGTCGAACGAGGTACGCGGTACTCGCACGATAAACCAGATTATCGCGGAACAACCGACGAACGAATATTTCACATATTCGCAAAACTAGAAAATAATCATATAACATTCGATTCTAATGCCGCAAAAACAAATCAATCACATTTAATGATAGATACAGGTAGTCAGGTAAATATTCTCAAAATAAATTGCTTACGCGAAGAACTAGAAGTAGACGAAACGCAAAAAATAAATCTACGCGGTATAAATGAATGTCTTACAAAAACCATAGGGAAAATATCAATATTAATTAAATTAAATAGCGAAAACATTAAAACAGAATTTCATATCGTAAGTGCACGATTTCCAATACCCAAGGACGGAATATTAGGAAACGATATCTTGTCGAAAAATAACGCAATAGTCGATGTAGCAAACAACAAATTAATTATTCAAACGACCTCGCATGCGCTAACAAATTTCAAGGAGACCGACAAAACCAGTTTTATTAAATTAAATCCGCGGACTGAAACTATTGTAGGAATACAGATAGCTGACCCACTCATAGAAAGCAAAGAAATATTTATACATAAGCAAGAACTAGTAAAAGACGTATATTGCAGTAGTACAGTATCAATCGTTAATAATGGTAGGGCAATAGTCAGCATGTTGAATATCTCGGAAGAAACGAAAAATATATCTGAATTTGATTTAAATAAAATACTCTTTGATACTGAATACGAAATATATAATGTAGAATCGACAAATGATCATAAAGAACGAATAGAACGTTTGAAACAAGTAATAATAACTGACCACATGGACGAAATTGAAAAACAATCTATTTACGAAATATGCGAACGATATAATAACATATTTCATTTGGAAGGGGATGTTTTAACATTTACCAATGTCGGTACACATTCTATTAAGTTAAAAAAGGATCAGCCACCTATCTATCGTAGACCTTATAGATTACCACACGCACAACAGGAGGAAATAAATTCACAAATTCAAAAAATGGAAGAAAATGGAATTATCGAGAAATCGAGAAGTCCATGGAATTCCCCACTATTATTAGTACAAAAGAAAATGGACAATTCAGGCAAACAAAAGTTTAGAGTAGTAGTAGACTTTAGGGCACTTAACGAAGCTACTATAAATGAATTTCACCCTTTACCAAATATTACAGAAATACTAGATCAACTAGGAAATAGTCAATTATTCTCTCTATTAGATTTATCGAGTGGTTTTTACCAAATTTTGATGGAAGAAGACTCACGAGAGTTAACAGCCTTTTCGACTAACCAAGGTCACTGGCATTTCAAACGAATGATACAGGGAATGAAAACGAGTCCCGGAACCTTCCAAAGAGTTATGAATTCAGCTCTGGCAGGTTTAATAGGAATAAAATGCTTAGTATACTTAGACGATATAATAGTATATGGGAAAAATTTATATGATCATAACGAAAAATTAATAGAAGTTTTCGAGCGTTTACGAATAAGCAACTTAAAATTACAACCAGATAAATGCAACTTCTTAAAAAGAGAATGTGTATATCTAGGACACGTTATTACGAAAGACGGAATAAAACCCGACGAACGTAAATTAAAAGCAGTAGTAGAATTTCCAATACCAACAACTGTAAAAAACATAAAATCATTTTTAGGATTAAGTGGTTATTATAGGAAATTCATAAATTCATATAGCGCAATAGCAAAACCACTAACCAATTTATTAAAGAAAGACACGAGTTTCGTATGGAGTAACGAATGTCAAAAGTCATTCGATACCTTGAAGGCAGCGTTATGCTCAGAACCAGTTTTAAAATATCCGGATTTCACAAAGACCTCTTATTAACTACAGACGCGAGTAATAAAGCACTCGGAGCTATTTTATCTCAAGGAGAAATAGGTAAAGATTTGCCAATATGTTATGCGTCACGCACATTAAATAAAAGCGAAAGCAACTATTCAACAACAGAATTATAATGTCTTGCAATAATATTCGGAGTTAAACAGTTTCGACCATATTTATACGGTAGGAAGTTTATAATACTTAGTGACCATCGTCCATTAACGTGGCTCTTTAATTTGAAAAATCCATTATCAAAGTTAGCTAGATGGAGAATACAATTAGAGGAGTACGATTACGAAATACGTTACAAACCCGGAGTTTTAAATTCAAATGTAGATGCACTCACACGCATGTACTCTATACAGGAAATAAAAAATGAATCATATGAAAAATTTCTCGAAAAATTAGAAACACAAATTATCACAAATAGTAATGTAAAAGAAACTATAGGCACAGTAATAGATTCACCAAAAGAATATAATATAGTGTCAGAAATTGCCAAGCAATATAATTTCAGAACAGGAACAAATTATCAATTAAAAAAACAATTTGGAAACGGTATAATATTACCGACTAGTAAAGTAATAGGGGACACGCCATATTTTAAACATGAAAACCGGTTTATAATATTCTTAGTAACGAAAAACAAAGAACGCCAGAGGGCCACTTACGAAACTATATATATATCGTTAATAAATTTAAAATTATTTTGTAAGGAAAACAATTTGAATAAATTAGCCATGGGCAAGCTAGGTGATCACGATGATTTAGAATGGGAAAAAGTAAGGTCAATGTTGCGATACATATTTCGCGAAACAAATATAGAAATAATTATATGTGCAAATGTAGAATATAGTGAAGAAGAAAAAGCAGTCATTTTATCACAATTTCACGACTCAAAACTAGGCGGACATTTAGGTGTGAATAAAACTACTAAACGTATAAAACAACAATTTATATGGAGGGGAATGAAAGAAGATGTTAAAAAATATATAAGGAATTGTACGTCATGTCAGGTTAATAAGGTATCAAATCGACACATAAAACAACCAATGGCTATTACATCCACTTCGTCTAAACCATTCGAAAAAATATTTATGGATATAGTAGGGCCCTTGCCGATTACACTGTCCAATAATGTATACATTTTAACGATGGAGGACGATTTGACACGTTACACTTTAGGAATTCCACTTCCTGACCAGAAGGCAAATACTGTTGCGGAAGCCTTTGTTACACACTTCGTTTGTGTACACGGCATACCAGAAACAATACTCACGGATCAAGGAACTAATTTCCTCTCAAAAACGTTTGCAAATGTTTGTAAAATATTAAAGATAGAAAAGGTTAACACAAGTCCATTCAGACCGCAGGGTAACCCCGTAGAACGCGCTCATAGGACCTTAGCCGAGTACTTAAGACATTATGTAGATAAGAATTTAAATAATTGGGACCATTTACTACCCTTTGCATTCTTTGTATATAATTCAACGGTACATACTTCTACTAATTTTCAACCATACGCATTAGTCTATGGACGTACGTTGGAGGTACCGATTAGATTAAAAGCCGAACCTGAACCACGTTACAATTATGATGATTATATATTCGATCTAAAAGAAAATATGCAAATTTCGCATAAGATAGCTAGAGATCATTTAATTAAAAATAAAATAAAAAGTAAAGAACGTTATGATAAAAATGAAAATCCACAAGAACTACACGTTAATGATTTAATATTATTAAAAGATAATAATCATAGAACGAAACTCGATCCAATCTGGCTAGGACCGTACGAGGTCACAGAAGTTATAGGGAACGAGAATGTAGCTATACAGCGAGGCCGCAAGGTCATCACTGTACATAGAAATAACGTAAAAAAATATTATGATGACGCACAAGTCGATTAAAAAAAAATAGCAATAATAAAAAATAATAGTAATAAGTATATAGCAAATATTAAGTTAGAATAATTATGTTAATTTTAGGAATAGAAACAGAACATTCATTTTGAAACTGGAAGAAGAAATAGTAAATGTTTTATAGAACACATAACTATAGCTAATAATAAATTAACCGAACCGTACACCGAAGCGGATTTAAGTGAGATCACACGTAACATAAAGGGGTTTCTGTATGTTATGACAGAAAATAGAATAGAAAATCTGAAAAAAATTAATTGTCAGTACCTAATTGAATTTATCGACGTTATACCAGAGCCAGAGGACCTACTTTATTACAAAAACTTATTCTCAGAAAATAATTAATAATCCAACGTAATAAAACGGATTCAGATAAAGATAAAAAAAATATTGATTTATTAAACAAAAATATACATGATAGTTAACATCATGAAAATAAATTCAATTTAATAAACAAGTTTTTTTTTATTCGGATTCGTCTTCCTCATCGTCCGAAATAAGAATTCTTGACACAATATGTTGCGGCAAAGGGGTAAAACCCTCCGGCCACTCAATTTCCATAATTATGTCCGGCCCTCGAGCTAATAAAAATAATTTAAAAAAAAAAATAATTAAATAAATCCTTAAGCAAAACAAAAAAAATATATACGCACGGTTTCGAATGACATATATCCGAGTACAGGTTTCATCAGGTTCCATGCTTCCTTGAATAATAAATCTAATCAAAAATATACAAAAAAAAAATAATAGCAAAAAAATAAATACGATAAAAAAAAAAAATAAAAATTTTAATTTTAGGGACAGACAAAGAAAATTCATTGAGGAACTAGGAATGGCAATCGAACAAGAAATACACGAAACATATACTTTAGGACCGGAACACACACCGAGGTGTCTAATAGGACATATTAATACAGCAAATAATTTTATGGAGGAACCATTTGGTACTCTTGAAATAACAAAAATTACGCAAATTATAACATTAATTATGTACGATTTGTCATCAGATTCGGTAACACCCACAAATACTTTATGTAAAAGATTAATAGACTATATGAAACTCTTACATGATGCTAGAGATATTTTAGATTATGTAAGATGGTATTAATTTTATAAGATTATAATAAGATAGTTAGTTTAATATAAATATACTTTGTACTTTTAGATTGGTGATGGTGACGAGTTTTCTAGTCAATATTATTGAATCTGACGAAATAAATACATCAGAGTACTTTTCGTATACGCCTTACGGAGTTGGCAGGGGTATGAATATGAAGGGTTGGGGCCAGTTAGATTAATAGGGGCTCAATACAATCTTGTAATGTTTTACTCATTAAAAGAATATAATACGAAATATGAACTATTGGGGGAAAAAATTAAAAATATAACAAATTTATGTACTGACCAAAAACATCAAGATTTATGTGGGAAATATCAATTAGTAATTACAGACTTATATAACGAAATAACTAAACAGAAAGAACGTACATATATGTCGCTAGGAAGTACTATGGAGGACATTAAAAACAACAGGAAAAAAAGGGGATTAATAAACATAATAGGTAACACCATGCATACGTTATTTGGCATATGTGATGACAAGTGCACTAAGAAAACACAAGAAGCTATACAAAAAACGGAAGAATCAGGAACTAATATATTACACATAATGACAGCTCAAACTACTGTAGTAAAATCAACAATAAGGAGTATTGGTTACACAATAAATCAAACCGAACAATTATACAATAATATTACGGAAAAGGAACAAAAACTAAACGAAAAAATGTCAAAATTACAAAACAAAACAAATGATATATTAGATTTACTAATGAAAAATGAAATACATAATTTATACACAATAATTATTAATCAATATTCCTACGAAACAGAAATATTAGGACAAATAGTAACTGCCGCTAGAGAAGGTATGATACATCCAAGTCTTATGACACCGCAAGAACTAGCATCAACATTAAAAGCAATAGAACAAAATATAAAGAAAATATACAGTATTCCGATGGGAACAAAGAGATATGAAATAAATGAATTTCAAAAAATTACAAAAATAAGAATCTACTATTCGAACGACAGATTAGTATTCGATATAGTAATACCACTAATTATTGACACTGAACTCACATTATACAGGTTAACACCAGTACCAATGCGTCATAACCAAGATAATTCTAGTGGATGGTACATGATGGACATTACTTATAATAATATTGCTGTAACCAAAGGCTATAAAAGGTTTACTACATACACAGATCAACAATTAAACGAATGTAAAGAAACATCAATATACAAAATATGTAATACACCACAACCTATACAGGACAACAATGAACGCCAACCATGTGAAGTACAAAACTTTTATAAAGCTGACACGTATGCTAATCCTGAGTTATGTACAGTAAAGAAAATAAATTTAAAAAGAAGCATATACCAAAAATTAAAAAGAAAAAAATACATGGATTCACGCAGGAAAAGAGACTTTAACTGTAAGTTGCGCGAACTTAATAGACTCATTTATAATACAAACAAATGAAGCAGGAGAAATAGCTATAAACGACATTAGTTGTCAAGTATTTGCACGGGACGCAGTATTAACTGCCACGGAAGAAATCCAAATTACAAAATATAAAGACTTTACACCTGTAACTAACATGAATAATATTTTAGAAAAAATACCCGAACATATACACAAATTCGAAACAGATGAAAAATGGGAAAAGGGACTAGCTATGCAATTCACAGATTTACACGATGCATCCAAATCTTTAGACGAAGTACAACAAATGATTAACCAAGAACTTTCAAGAGAACAAAATCAAAAGCATCAATTTGTACACAGTAATTTACTATATGTAACAATAGTACTGGCAGTAATATCTATTATACTAATAATAGCAATTTACATAATGATAAAATGCAAGTATATCAGGTCCACAGAAGTCATGGAATTTCCCGGCAGAATAGTTAGATATAGGGCACCCAATAGAAATGACTACATACGAAATTATGAAGAGACACCCTTTACTCCACCCCCTTCACCAAGATAATAAAATAAATAAATTA